CAGCCATCGCCAGTTTCCCATGGAAAATTGGTGATGAAAACATTCCAGCCATGAAAGAATTAGCTGAACTGTACTCGAATGAAGCAATAGCACCACTCACAGGTTTCGATAACGGTATGGTCATCTATCATAGATCAATAGTGAACTTTTTTATTCCATTTTCACCGCGTGGTGAAGGCGGTTTCAAGGGTAATCGGACACTGTGTGCACATTTTCTACAGATGTTTGCTCATTTACTATTTAATGAACATGCCATACGTTTGAATATACTCGAGTATGACAATTACTTTCGCATCGATAATTTGGTACATGATAAAAAATTTTCACAAAATATTAGATTTAAGCAAGGTCTCGCGTATGTTCCTGATTTTCAACATCCGTATGAATTTCCCCAAAATGAAGAGTATAAAACTTTTTTGTCAAGCGGTCTGAAACAGCCGTTTCGGTCTTGGGGAAGAACATTAACCAAAGAGTACAACTTAATAAAGCCCTCAATTCCTGAGATTAAAACTAATTCATTCGGAGGCACATGGCTAGTGAATCGTCTAAATAGAGTCTACGATCTACGTCATCAAGCACTTTCGAATAATGAATTTCTTGCTCATATTACCGATAAACAGAAATTGGACGTACTACAACAAACGTCATTTAGTTTAAGAATAATTATATTAACAATGAATCGTTCACACTCGTTTCGACGATTATGGAAATCATTGATGAATGCTCATCGTATAAATAGAATAATAAAGATTTTTATTTACGTAGATTTTGAAAAAGATGACATCAAGCGCCATAAATATCTTAAATATTTAAAGAGTTTAAAGAGTCTACATGGAGATGTTAATCTTATCGTTTATTCAACACATCGTGGGCTAAAAACGATCATGATGGAATCATGGCAATCTCAGAATAATGATGAGTATGCTCTATTTTTTGAAGATGATATTGAGGTATCGTCTTATTTTCTCCTATACATTGATAAACTTGTTAAAGCTTATTTTTATGGTTTAAAATTAGATAAACGTCTGTTTGGTATATCTTTGTATAATCAACGATTTAACGAGGTCATTGATGAATATGTGAGTGTGTCTAATGGACATCAACCTTATCTATATCAATTACCGCAAAGTTGGGGTGCTCTCTATGCGCCAAATATGTGGCGAGAATTTTTGTTCTTTTTGAATGACAAAAATGATACATTAATTCCAAATTCTTATACAAATCGTTGGCCATTTAAAAATAGTTGGAAAAAATATTTGTTACGGTACATGTTACAGGAAGGTGGTTATCTTATTTATCCGAACTTTCCAAATAATCATTCGTTAAGTACAAATCATTTGGAAATTGGTATAAATGATAGATTAACAAAAATTGAAAATAAATTACCAATGCAATTAAAATTCAATGTACCCTTATTAGAATCACGTGATACATTTAATCAGTTAGAGATACCAGATTTTGATCGTTTACATATCTATAATGCTTATCATAGAAAAGTTGATTCATTAGACGATTTAAAAATGCCCATAAATAATTTAACATCATTTGATAGTTGTACTATGATTTTAACTGTTTATGATCGAGTAAATTCAACATTAGATCGACTCAAATATTATCAAAATTTTACCTATTTATCATTAATAGTCGTTATTTGGAATAACATAAATATTCAACCTTCATTTAAATTAGAACAAATTAAATTAAAAATTCCTGTTCATATTTTAAAAATGAAAACAAATTCATTGAATAATCGTTTTTATCCATATAAAATTATAAAAACGGACTGTATTATAAATATGGATGATGACTGGGATATGCCATATGATCATATGGCATTTGCCATTGATACGTGGCGTGGTCATTTCTTTCACAATCTTGTCGGTTTTTCGCATCAAGGTAGAAATCATGTTATACGTTATATTAACGGTACACTTAGATATTTATATAGTCATACAGTTTTGTTACAAAAAAAATTGGAACCTAATAGATATCCTTTCTATAGTATAGTACTTCCATCCGGGTTTGTTTATCATCGTTTATATCTTGAAAAATATACGTATGAATTACCAAAAAGTGCTCGAGATCTAGTAGACACAGTTCAAAATTGTGATGACATTTTATTTAATTTTTTAGTTTCTAATTCAACTAAACAAGGACCGGTGATAATTGATTCATTCGCTAAACCTTATAATTTTGGTGGTTTATGGAAACGACCAATTCATTTTAGAACTCGAACATTATGTTTAAATAAATTTCATGAAATCTTTAATGGAATGCCGCTGAAATATACGTCAAGTTTATTTAAAATCAATAGAAATCAGACAGTACCAGGAAAAAATAAACATATTTATCAAAATCAAATTCCATTTAATTATCCGTGTAGTAGAAAAGTATTAAATGAATCAAACGCCTGTGCTTTTATTCTAAAACGTCGGGTAGAAATTACTGATAAAAAATTATTCTGAACTAAAAAAGTATATTATAAGCACAATATGAGGCACGTTTATTGGCGACAAGAAGGGTCAGAGTGATAATGATATTTCATTGCACACTGGAGATATAGAAACTACGTTGAAATTCATAGTCATTTAAACTACAAACTTAGGATTTCTACAAGATTCAGAGTCAATAATATAAATTTTACTCTCGTGAATTATTCAACACTTGTAATTACATGTTGTCATTGGTTTCTTTTTGTATTTTCTCGTTTTTCTCGAGAGAAAATGAAGTCAAACATGTCATCATGCTATTAAAATAGAAAAAACAACTTTGAAATTGCATGACGATATTATATAAACATTATAAATTTTTTAAAAGAAGGCCAATGTGTCATTTAAAATTAAAAAATTGGTTTCCCTTAAATAAACAAGAATCACAATGACGATGATGATTGTTGTATAAGTAAGAGAAAACAACGTTATCTATGTAAAGTTCAAGTATAGTAATATGACATACATTAATTAAATGGAAATGTAGTAAGTAATTATGACTTTCACAAACTAGGAGAAAAAAGTGTATCACACTAAAAAATAATGTGTCGCAAATTGCGACATATTCTGCGACGCCGGGAGCGACTTGCGATACATTTTCATGCGACACATCCCGCTAGGTATTTCTATCATAGAGAAAACAGTAAAAATTAAGTATTTTCGATCTCTTATTCGATTTTAAGAATATTTTTAGTTTATTTTGGGATGCTCTACGTAATGTCAACAAGCTCAATCCGTCGGTAATATTCACAGGCCTTCAAAATATTTAGTTTCCGAGATCTGGGAGTAATGGCGTAGGCAAGGCCTCTGATTGGTTGTTTTTCTTTAGAAAAAAAAAATAAAAGAGACCAAGAGAGGGATCTTTATCCACTAAAAACATCAATTCGAAATTGAAAACACTTAGAAAGTTCGAAAATTTTCTTATTTTTTACGTATTAGCGCCACCTCTAGCATATCAAAATTGAAAAGAAGCCGAGAAAAATAGTAATGAAGGCTGTTGAAAATAGTAAAACATGAAATTTAGCAATTTTTTGAAGAGAGCAGATCCTGAAGTGACCTCAAGAACTGTGTCTGAAAGTTCTTAGTAACGGCAACACAATTGCGCGACACAATTTTCTCACAGGAGCTGCGACACATTTTACTGCGACACAAAATGCGATACAATATTTTTTACTGTGTAGTATTTATTAAACGTGGAAATATAATTATGGGTGCAAACTAATTATATTGAAATACAACCAGTGTTATTTTTAGTTTGTTGATAAAATTAGCTCAGTCGTATGATCACATGATTATGTCTGCATTTCGTTTTGAATTCTGACTTATTACATATCTATATATTATAACTGATACGTATTCTTGTTGTCAAGTGCAGTAGAGACCAAAACTGAGTGTTTACCTTTATTTTTAATTTTTCTCCTCGACCATAATAGCTAGAACAAAAAATGTGAAAAAAGATTTGAACAACTGAAAGAGTTTATAATCAGATGAGTTGTATAAACTTCCTTCAAACTAGGTTTCTGGAAACCAAGATTTTAAAAAATCAAAAAAATCAAGTCCTGCGATTCCAGTCAAAACTTTTTTGTAAATAGTCCATTCGTGTGAACCAAACATTTCTGTACAAAACTAGGCATCGCCGAACTCTCTACGACGTTTTTTTATCGAACTGCATTCGATTTACTAAAGGCCCCTTCATGGCAGAAACGCTAGCATTTTTGCTCTTTTTCTAGGGATTTTGTCGTGGTGGGGACTATTTACAACACGTTTCCGTTGGAATAGGGGAACTTGATTTTTTTTGATTTTTTAAAATCTTGGCTTTCCAGGGATCTGGTTTGCAGGGATTTTATACATCTCATGTGATTGTAAACTCTTTCAGTTATTCAAATCTTTTTTTGCATTTGTTCTAGCCTTATGGTCGAGGAAAAAAATTAAAAGTAAAGGTGGACGCTCAATTTTAGCCGCTACTGTACATGACACAGAACTTTAAACTACATACTTCCCTATCCTAAAATCTCTAATAAAACTAGAGCATAGAGAGCCGATAACTTTATTATCCTAAGGACATCTAATCCTTTGTATTTCAGATGTAAGAAATGTTTATTAGTTTTATTGTGACGGCTTTCATTCAGCTACGTAAGCAAAATAACTGTTAACTTTTAGCCTTTGGAGACCTATCCTTCCCGTGAAATAATTTTTTAAAACAAAAATTTACAAAAAGAATTTCTGAAAAAAAACATATTTAGTTTCTTTTCTTGTTTAGAATAAGTCCAAACTGTATTTAAAGATATGGAACCACATACCGGTCGAAAGAGCAGAAAAAAACTAAAGAAACCTGACAGATTTTGAAAGTTAGAAATTAACTTTCAACTAAAAAAAGAGTTAAAAAACTAAAATTTTATTGTAAAACGAATTTTTCAAACACTAAATCGTTCGAGCGGAGAAATTTGAGCAGCTTAGTTCATGGAGTTAGAGATTCTCTATAAAACTTAGCCATTTTTGAATAACTCAGGAACGATCATAGAGACTCTACTTTATCTATACTATATCATGGAATCCAATAGAACCTTTAACCATCAACAGAGAATGTTTTGAGTTCTGAAAAGGTTCTTTAGAAATCTTCCTAAGTAGAAGAATGTTTTTCCTAATCATAAGCACAGAATCAAATTTTAATCGGATAAAACAGTGTTGATATGTACATCCGTTAGTTAGTTTAGATCGAATTAAGTTATATAAAGTTTTTGACATATTCTCAATGGGCTCACGGAGTCTCTCTAAAGTGTTCGATTTTCTTCTGAAATATTCAACTCAAGTATGTTTACTTTCGAAACCCAGCTAATGTTAATTTTTCTTCTAGTTCCCGTTGTGTCAGCTGGTAGCTGTCCATTGATAAACTATCCTCCTAATGCTGCGATAACATATGGCACCGCTAGAATTGATGAGGGTTTCAAATCATCGATCGACATAATTTGTTCATTAGCAAATTCATGTAGGATCAAACTCCACCTAACAGCGTCATTTCGCCCACTAGGTTATACCCCGACAAGTACAGTAGTCACTCCAGTAGACATGAGTGCTCACAAAGTTGGTCATGCTATTGATGCAAATCTGATCTACGGAAATGGTCAGTTGTGCAACAGTACCTGTTTAAACAAACCCGAATCTCAGTGGCCGTCGGACGATATTTGTTCTTTTATTGAGAAGATTAGAAGAACTGCGGGTCTCAGATGGGGAGGTGATTTCAACAAAAAAGATGTTGTACACTTTGATGATGGTATAGGTGTGTTCAACATAGAAGGATATAAAGCATTGTATAATCTAATAAACACTTACTGCTACGGTTCAACTCTAAGGTCAACGACTCGAACAAAGAAACCACCGAATACCGGTGACACGACGGTTGAGCCTACGACATTTGAGCCCCGACAAATGAGCCTCGACAGATGAGCCTACCGACACTTGAGCTCTTGACATTTCAGCCCCCGATATATAAGCCTCCGGATACGTGAGCCTTCGACATTTGAGCCTGTCGCAGATAGGCATTATATGACTGAGTTCGATACTATTAACGAACAGGCTAATTGATTGATTGATTAAAATGTTATATTTACGCTAATTGATTGATTGATTAAAATTTTATTTAATAATTTACTTTTTAATAATGAGTTGATTAAATTTGAATTTGGCTTCCGAACGAGTTCTAAATATATATATATATACGC